ACCCACAACAGTCCACCTTCTACGACAAAAAAACCAACAGTTAGGACTGGTGTTCTCAAGCTTGGCAAGTTTTTGACACTTTGTTAACTTCACTGTTGAGAGTGTGTGCCTGCATGAGCCACTGTGAGCAGGTAGAGGCCAACTCTGTGAAGTCTGTTCTCTCCGTCCACCTTCCCATGGCTTCTGAGGGTCCGGCTCAGCTTCTCAGGTTTGCTACAGGTCTGTCTTTGACACTTGTGAGAATGTGCTGACAACTGTGAGAGAACGTTACACACCACACACACACACACACACACACACACACACACACACACACACACACCACATTCGAAATTCAGCGTTCCTCTTCAATTCAACTTCAGGGGTATACACCATAAACACTGGCTATGTCACCAACCCTAATTTGATGATTCTAGTAACTTCTCTATCTTCCACACCACTAACACACAAGTAAGGACAATAGAAAGTTTCCCAAGCTACAGATCAGAAATCCAGACCAAGGGCTCAACTGGTAAAGTGCTTGGTGCTCAAGCCTGAGAACCTGAGTCTAATCCCTGGTCTCATGTAAAGGTGGAGAGAATTGATCCACCAAGTTGGCCTCTGAACCTCGTGTATGTTACCATACACACACATAATAATAACATATTATTATTATTAATGATATTATTATTATTATTATTTCTTTTTAGTCTTTCCTGTACCTTTCCCAACCCTCGGGCTTGGCCCTGGTCACATATCCCGTGTGCCAGCCCAGTCTGGTCAGTTTACCTGGCAATAACCTGCCTTCACCACCTCTAGGCCTTAAGTAGGGTACTCACTCTGTGCTCAGGCACAGTCTGGTGAGTTCCTCAAATGCTAGGCTTTCTGCATGCTCCCTAATCCCAAAATGTATTCCAGGTTGCACATTCTGTACATCAGCCTGGTTCCATCAGTCCCACCGGCACTGTCCCGAACCCCCAGGCCTTGCTTCAGCTCTGCCCTAGCCTGGAGGAAGCAATCTCTGAAGTGAAAGGGAAGGCATGGAGTGGTGGAGAGTCTTTACCAGCTGTGTGTCTGGTAGTGGTTTGATACACAGAATATCAAAGAATTAAGAAAACAAAAGATCCGTTTTAAAAAAATGGACTATGGATCTAAACAAATCATTCTCAAAAGAAAAAAATAAAATGACTAAGAAATATCTCAAAAAGTGTTCAGCTGGGCAGTGGGGGTGCATTCCTTTAACCCCAGCGCTTGGGAGGCAGACCTTGTTGCCTTCAGGTTCCTGCCTTGAGTTCCTGGCCTGACTTCCCGAAAAGAGGGACTACAAGTCGTACTATAAAATAAACTCTTTGCTCCCTAAGTTGCTTTTGGTCATGATGTTTTATCACCACAATAGAAGCATAAGCAAAACAGAAATTGGTGCCAGGCCATGGAGTGTTGCTATACAGACCTGACCATGTTTTGAAAAGCACTGTAGAAAGACTTTGAAATCTGGGGCTAGAAATGCCCCTGGGTGTCCAGAGTTCAGCAAACTGTTGTAGGAACTGGGAAGTTAGTGCTGACGGTGGTGCAGAGGACAAAGGAAATGTTGAGGCACTTAAAAACTCCGCTGGGACCATTCAATAGTGTGAATTAAGCACCACTAAAGGGAAACCTTTGCTTTGCTTAGAACAACTGATGCTGGGGCTGAGAAGTTAGCTGTGATTACGAGAAGACCAGCATCACTGAAGTGAACTCTTCTGGGAAGGGTTTCCTCAGGGTCAGCACACAGACTGGTCCAGAGGGGCCAAGGCTATACCTTATGCAGGCACCAAACCTGGTCATCTGTGAGAATTTCTCGGGTGGTATTGGTTTTGAAGGCATGAAGAGGTCGTGAAGAGCAGCCAAGACTTGACACTGTGAGCGGCCAGGAAAGGTCATGAAGAGTGCTAAGACTTGACACTGTGAGAGGCCAGGAAGGTCGTAAAGAGCGCTAAGAATGCTGTGAG